AATCTAGTGATCAACTTGTTTTCTCAAAGTTTTGCCATTGCAAATGTCAGATAGGTAGATAGGTAGATAGGTAGATAGGTAGATAGGTAGGTAGGTAGGTAGGTAGGTAGGTAGGTAGGTAGGTAGATAGATAGATAGATAGATAGATAGATAGATACAACAAATAGACAGATAGCTAGACAGACGCACAGACACACACACACACACACAATTTATGATTTCTCAGATGGATCTTTTCCGTCTTCAGGCTTGAGGATACCTCTGGCTGCTGTTTTCTTATTCCTGTTATTAGGTGGATTGACAGCTCACAGGCAGAGCTAGTCTGTTAGTGCTGGGTTCAGATGGGCTTCTAATGGTGAAAAGTGTCTTATGTTTCTGAATAAGATCCTTGTTGGTATTGGCTTAAAGGAGGCTTGATAACCACCCCAGTTAAAGATGGGGCAGAAACTGTTATTGCAGTTAGGAAATTATTTGCCTTTTTAAAAACCAAAGGCAGAAAAAGAAAAAAAGATTGTCAAATAGTTGAAAGCGTAATGCGTAAATAATTTTGGGATAGAGCAGGGGTCACCAACCTTTCAGACTTTGGGGATCACTAAATTGATAACTTTAAATTCCACGAATATGAATTTTAAAAAAAGATAAAATAGTATTTAGTGCAATATAAAAAATGCAAATAATTTTTCTGCAGACCACCAAAGTTTTCTCGCAGACCATCAGTGGTCCACGGACCATTGGTTGGTGACTACTGGGATAGAGTATCTTGGAAGGATTTTGACTTGCCACACCATTCTTTGCTTGAATGTGTGGCAGTAAAACAATCTATATAACATAGACCTCCACTTATGGCCACAATTGGGCCATCTGTTAAGTGAGTTTTATGACCTTTCTTGCCACAGTTTTTAAATGAATCACTGCAGTTGATAAGTTAGTAACCCAATTATTTAGTGAATTTGGCTTCATCGTTGACTTAACTTATGAGAAAGTCACAAAAGGTGATCTCCTAACCTTGGGACATTGCAATGGTCATAAATCTGAACCCATTACCAAGCATCTGAACTTTGATCATATGACCATGGGGATGCTGCAAAGGTCATAACTGTGATAAACAGCCATAAGTCACATTTTTCAGTGTAATTTTCAATGATCAGTAAATGAACTGTTCTAAGTCAAGGACTACCTGTACTGAAGTATCCTGTGCTTCTCCAATACTTGACGAAATCAGAAATGAGCAAGAATGTTGTCCCTACTTTCTAATCCAGCAGTTGAACAAGGATCCGAGTTTCTTGAGGAACTCCTCAAATATCGTAATTTTCATATCCTTTGTTTTTAGTGAGCAAAACTTTATTTTTATTATTTCAACTTATATGGCCACTCATCTTACATTCATTACATTGGGAAGTTAATGTAGTTATAAACATCATAAAAACCCGTAAGACAATAAAAACTATGTCACACATATAATCCACCGCCAAAGTAAAAAGCAGAACCAGCTTCAAGAAATCAACACACTCCTTCCATTCATCTAGATCTCCAGGCCCAGTTGGAAAACCTAAGTCTTTAAAGGCCTTGCGAACAATCCAGACTCTGGGGATTTGGGAGATTTGTTTCAGAGGTGGATTGCTCCTGGTTGAGCCCGGATCGGGTGAACCAGTAGTGGCAATGGCGGGAGTCTCTGCCCACCCACCCGGACGCATGTGCGAGAGTGCCCGAGCGCCCGAGCGAACCAGTAGTAAAGAAAATATAAACCCACCACTGATTTGTTTATTCAGCATATGGCATATCAAAGAAATATCATGCATGGACTAACAATATATATGGTAGTAACATTTCACCTAGTGTAAAACCCAATAATATATAGACGTTAAAAGAATGAGGGTGAAGGTTCATTCTCTGAGCTTGTGGGTTGGTTTCCGAACATTACATTACCAGGTTGGATAACAACTTCAGTGGAATTTAGAGGATGTCGCTGTTGTTGTTTATAAGGGATTCAGGTGTGGGTATATCAAGTGAAATCCTTGTGATGGGTCAACTGAGTCATCAGTGAGGGTCTTGTGATGTGGATACATTAGGTCAGGTTCATTGGGAGATGGGCTGTTGGGCTTGAATGGGTTGGTTGAGAGTCGGTCTGTCTCTGATTGGCTGTGTGGTTGATTTGGATTCTGAAGGTTCGTAGGCTGGTTGTAGGTCAATGTTTTGATGGAATTGCGTATTGAGTGTTAAAAAGATGTATGTTCAAATACCATTATCTAGAACTCAAGGCCATCTTTCCACTGAAGCACAGCAACTAGTTGGTATAATTAGTTTATGATTCACTGGGCTGTGGGGACCCAGTCAGATGAATATAATAGTAGGATTTAGCTAACAGTGGATTAGCATATTGGGCAATTTACATGTTGCTTTTCATTTTGGGGAGAAACCCCCTGCAGTCTATATGGGAAGAGTCAGTTCTTTCCAACAACTATCTGACTCTCTGCCTACCCAAATCTTCATTGTGACTGAACAAGTTACTCGTATGAGTAACAAAACAACTCAGTTTTAATAAACTTTGGTCCAGTTTCCATGATTCAAACCTTTTAAGATATTGAAATGCAGTATTATTGATATTTTTTTAAAAAATCAGATGAAGATATATGCCTTCAGCCGGTTACATTGTGATCTACAGTTTGACGTGGGACCCCACAGTTACACTGAGGGGGGGATACTATGCCCCACTTATACAGAGTCCTGGCAGACGCCGTGTGAGGTGCGAATCCTATTTGGGATTGTCCGTTGCTGACATGGTAGTTTAAAGCCTAGCACCTTTTTGTGGGTCATTTATATGTCTTCCTATGTTTGGGCGTTCATTGAACAATTTGGCTTTCTGTTGGGAATCGATCTTAAAATTGTGCAGAGGTTGTGCAAGTGATTTTGGAGATATTCCCAAGAGATTTATTATTATTCAGTTGAATTAAGAGCACCGATACATTTTTGCCCATTGCTTTTGAGTTTTTCACACTTAGGTTGAATCCATATGACACTGTATGGTTGCATGGTTTGAGGTTCATTCATTATACTATTTGAAACTAATTGGTTAGTTTATGGCTCAGTAGGCTGTGGGGACCCAGTTAGGTGAATATAATAATAGGGTATAGCTAACAGTAGGTTAGCATATTGGGCAAACAAATCTTTGCTTTTAATAGTTTGTATTAAAATAGTTTGCGTATAAAATATGAAATACATCAAAAGAATAAATATAGCAAATGTTGAACAGAAAAAAAGGCACCAAGAAAAAAGAAGATAAGAAAAAGAAAAGATGAAAACATATATAAACAATTGGCTTTTGAGCTTTCTCTTGAATTGTATCCTCACATACAATTCCAAAAAGAAATTGTTGGTTGTTAGTATGAAAAGTTTGAATTGTATACTTCTTCAAGATTTTATATTATTTTATATTATTATTTTATATTATTATTTTATATTATTATTATTTTATATTATTATTATTTTATATTATTTTTATATAGTATTATTTTATATTATTATTATATAGTATTATTTTATATTATTATTTTATATTACTTTATAATTTTTACATTTTACACATTTTACACATTTTACACATTTTACACATTTTACACATTTTATACATTTTATATATTTTATACATTTTATACATCTCATTTTGAAGCAATTTCAAAGTTAAGACATAGAACAAAATTAAGGAGGATATGTTAAGATGGGAGAAATTAAAAT